CAATTATACTCCATATGAGGTTCTTTATGAAATTTGTAGTTACTTTAAATTGAGATTACAAATAATTTATCAATTTGTAAATGCACTTTTAATTGACTAATTTCAATAAATTAATTAAATTTTTTCATAGTTCGCTTTGATGTTATGAGCCATTCGATTTACCCATGTTTTTGAAGTCATGACTTTTATGAAACATGTATGAGCCCTGAAGTGACTCGTATAGCTAGTAGCTCATATAGTTGCATTCAAGCAAATCTCGAAAGAATACTACTTGAAAAGTAATGTTTCTTAATACCAATGTCCTGTTCCGCAATGACATTTCCAACTGAGTGTCGCTTGATTTTCTGCCCTGGGCCTTTGGGTTTACTTCGGACAAACCACTACCCTTCCCATAACTGAATCGCTCATCTCTTCACCGCAGGACTACCACGATGACATCCGTCAGGAGCAAATGTGGGAGATGCAGGCGCTGACGTCCACGCCAGCACTGGGCGCCCACTCGCTGGAGGATTCGCAGAGTCCCACCATCAACACCAGTAGTCAGGTGGGCGGTGGGTGTGGTGCCACCGCCTCCTCCTGCAGCGGGGCCAGTGGGCGTGGCCTGGGCGGCGGACTGGCGGACATGGACACGTCCAACGATGACAAAACGGAAGATGCCAGCGGAATGGAGTGCCTGTCGGCCGTCGACAAGCTCGACTGCTCGTCCAGCTGTGCCAGTCTGGGAATCACAGGAATCACGACCATCAGCACCACCAGCTCCGAGCATCCGCATCCGCATCCACATCCTCACCAGCACCACGCGCACCTGCACCCCACTACACACGCCCACGGAAACCAGCAGCAGCAGCAAGTGCACCACCAACAGCAGCAGCAGCAGCACCACCATGGCCACCACTTCCACCAGCTGTTGCAACAGGCCCACGGAGGAGCCAGTGCAGCGGCGGCTGCCTGCGGGGAGCATCTCTCCGGACAGGCGACTCCGGCAACGGCGGCGGCACGTAAGTGGACTCCATCCGAATAGTGGCTTTGGCAAAGCCGAGCTGGGACCGAGACTATTAATTGGAAATTACTGCCCTCCCATTGATGTAGTGCCTGAATGTGAATGGGCCAGTGAACATAATCCAGCTCCAGCCGAGAGTCAGGGCAATTGAAGCTTAAACACACTCTCTGTGCGGATGATATGCCAACGCCAAGGGCTATTCATTATTTCTTAATTTACGTAATTGCAACTTAAATTACATATTCATTGGTGGTCTTTGCTCTGTTCAGTTCATTGCCAACATAGACCTGTGTATTCACCGTCATTTTGTATGCAGTATGAGTGTCGGAATTACAGAAATCCGAACTAAACGTGAAAATTCAGGTCATATGAAAGTTAAATATTATGAGGTCTTTGAGTTTTCAAGACAAACACTATGATAATAATTAGATACCTTAAATATTGTAGGTATAAGAAATATGCATAGCCTTTTTAGATTATTTTATAGGCTGACTTTCATTTAATAGAGGTCTACAAAGGTCCTTAATATATTACATAACTTGGTTTTTAAATTCCAAACGAAATTAGCCTAAGCTCAAAAATGGCTTATAATCCAATTGATCGAAGAAAAATGCAATTTAATCTTTGAAAGTGATAGCCCCTCTGAAAGAGAACTCTAAGCATCGGTGACCAGAGTCAGGCTCCTTCTCCCTTTGCTGAAAGTAATCCTCCAGCTGCCACTCATCCCGTTCTCTTCCCATGTCCGCCGTCAATCCACCCACAGTGCACACCACAGCCATGGCAGTGGCACTCCAGCATCAGCTGACAGCCGCAGGAATCGGAGGACTCCTGAAGCCGGCCACCGGAGTGGGGGCCACCATGGCCGGGCTGCCCACCACCCAGGCGGGTGCCGCCGCCCTGCAGTTGTCCGGCGACGGGGAGTCATCCGGATCGACGCTCACGCTGCTGGAGCCACCGGGCACCGCCCTCCTGCACCCCGCTCTGCGCAACGTCAAGACCATCAACATAGGTGAGTAGTCCTGCAGTCGAGGCATCGACTGAAACCCAATCTCAGTTACTGAACGAAGAAAACTCAATGGCAATTAAGCGAGTAGTTCGAAAGATACTATAAGAAATTTAAACTGAGCTATACAGATAATGTATACAACATACATTTTTTTAATCTCAATGTATAACTTGGTTTAATTGTTGCACTTGAAGGTTTATAGTTCTCGTGAAATTTAAAGAAATGGTTAAAATACAAAATTGATCTTTTGAAAACCAAACATTAATTAAAATAGATTTTTTACCAATAACAAATTTTAAATTTAATAAGAAGTTTTTTATATAGGTTCTATATTTTTTTCAGAGGGAATAGTGCAATAGAATGTATTTTATGTAATTAATTACCTATTTAGGGCCGTTTTCTCGTACGTTTGTACAATTTAAAGAAAGAAAATCGCATGGAAAATCAGAGTTTTAACCCTAATTTAAATTTAACAGAAAACGGCCCTTAATAATATTAAAACATAAGGAAATATGCGTATGCAGTGACTACATCTTGGTGATATTTTTCTCTCTGTGTGCCAGGTGGCGGCCTGGGCAGGAAGCGCCCGTTGCTAGGGGTTCCCCGCTCCGGAATGAATCCCACCAAGCGCACGGTGATGAGTCTGCTGGCCAGGGCCAAGAATTCGCAGGCGCTGCACTCGGTGCGCCAGCCCATGGTGACGGCCACCAGTTTCGCCGAGTGAGTTGATCCAACCACGTTCTCCGATTACGCGGTTTTCAGGGGGGGTTCAGGGGAATACGGGAACTCATTAATTTTGTTTGGTTTGTTCTAGACCCTTGCAGATGCTGACCTCCCCGTTCATCATTCCGCACCAGGCGGTGGACCAGCCGATCCTGGCGCTGTCGAAGGAGAGCCTCGCCCAGGGCGTCTAACCCAGTGACCTGCTCCACCTGCAGCTGCCCAGATAGACCAATCTGACCGATTACCACCTGCCCCGCCTCCCCTTTCGAGGACACGCGAGAGTCTCGAGGAGATTACCGAATATTACCAGGCGATGTTTGCGTAGTCGAGGCGTACTTTCCATTTAGTAAGGCTATACCGATCTTTAGGGACTAACTGTGAACTTATCCGAGCGAAATCTCGAGCTCGTGCTACACGATTTTATTTTTTACAGAGAATAAACGGAGCGTCTATTTGCAATGCGATGTTTTATTTCCACAAATGCAAATGCAAACCTAGGCAAACAAAAATCGAAAAGCGAAACGTTCGATCTAAACCTTAAACAAATTGAAACCTAAAATTAGTGTCAAATTAAAATGAGAGCAACTTCAATAGAAATAAATGTAAACGCAATTACTTTAAACAAATTACTTTAAATCCATATACACACAAATACGAATGCGAATGCAGATACCGAACACGAGTACCAAAAAAGATATATATACAATACATACGAACACGTATACAAGAATATACAAGAATAAATATGTGTGTGTACTTAAATCTATATTAACTTAAGATTAAACCAAACGAAACTACTAAATTAATGAGATAAAACAATAATTTTAAAGTATTTTAACAGCCACAAAACGAAGACAAAGTCAAACCAGAAAGAAATGAAAAGAAAAGAAAAGATAGGAAAATGAAAAGGAAAGTAGAATGATATAGGAAAGTTGAGGTAGAACCCCCGATCAGAGAGATCCCACCGCCTTCAGCTTGCGTTGCCTGATTGATTCCACATTGAGTCCCCTCAGACCCAAAGCTACAGCTGATAGATATGATAGTTCGGTTTCAGTTTTAGACCACGAAGTTTCAGAACATCGAAAGCAGCGATCGCCTACAGAGTTATATTTTTTCGGTTCAGATTATATATACACGCACTTGATACTTGAGGATAACGAATGGAAAGGTCTTTGGTCTGATTCCCCTCCACTCCGCTGCGATGCTTCGATTAAATGTATGAATTGACATTCAAGCTATAGGAATTTGATCTCACAGTTATCTGTCGAGCGTACCGACCATTCCAGCAGATTCCACGTCGTGAGTTCACTTTAGCCCCCAGTTACTTTGTTGACTGTGCACCAACCACATAGTTCTTAAATAGCGTTAACCGATATACAATAACAAACATTACTCAATAAATGTTCACAGAAAGTTTAATCAAAAAAAAAAACAAAACGAATATTTACAGCGTAAAGTAATAGTAAAAGTAAAAGCAAAAGTAAAGTTAAAGCAAAATATTGATGTTCAAAGAAAGCAAATCCGTGAAAGGTCCTAATCATGTCATTAATGTAGATGTCAAATATGCAAAACGAATTAAATAATTAAACCAGTCTTAAATGTGAAAAATTTCAGCAAAATTCCACCACACCACCAAAAACCACAAAAAATGCCACCACCACCACCAACACAGCTTCGAGCTATTCACAAATAAAATGCAATATTTTAAAAATAAATGTTAAAGAGTTTTACTCCCTGATTTTGATGGCAAGCATAACCAGTTCTTACACTTTATGCTTGCTGGTTACATAAAAAATAATACGGAAACGCACTCTCGGGAGGGAATGTCCCTGGCAACTATTAGTTCCGGAAATCCAGCTTTATCCACCTGACTCTTCTCTGTGGCTGCGTTTTATGTGCTCCGTTTTACTATGCACAAAATAGCTCAGGTGAGAAAGATATAAGCAGACTGGAGCAGCTTTAAACTGAAAAGTTTCATGTAACGTAAAGGTAAGGAAGATTCTTTCATTGGAGCACAAAAGAAAAATATATATATATTTTATTCTTTAAATATAATGATAAACTTTAAACTAATTATGATTTCAATTTAATCTTAAATGTAGAATAATTTATAGCAGTTGGAACCGCTTGAATTGTGATCAAAATGATGGAAATATCTAAATGCTTTTCTCAATCTAATTGTAATTAAATTCTTGGATACCTAATTAAATTCCAGTTAAACTACTTTGAGGTACATATATTATTTCTCCGAGTGCAATAATATTTTTCAGCTCAATACATAGTCGCCAGCTCGAGCCAACTGTCCGGGAAAAGTCGAAGGAAGTATCTGCGAGCGGATTCGAGGAAGACCAGCAGAGCCACAAAGGGGCAGATGGTCCACAGGAAGTGGCCAAAGCTGAAACAATGGAGAACCAATGTGATAGTGCGGAGGTCAGGCTGCCAGAAACACCCACTTCAGTTCGTTGCTGCCCTCCAGTCGCAGGCAAACGGTGGCGTCCATGAGGCACATCTCCGCGCAGAGGCAAATCAAATAGACGACCGCCAGATTCAGCCGCCAGTTGCCGAAGCCGTGGGTCAGCAGATTGGCACGTCCGGTCTTGGTCAACACCAGATGGGTGCACTGCATCGTGATGAGGCTCATCAGGCAGAGGGAGGACACCTGGCACTCCAGTTGCTGGCGAGCTTCGCTGCTCTGCGGGAGAATCGGAGTTGGGCTCGATAGATTGGTGGGTTTTATACGATGTTATCTCTACCCATTCCTGGCCGTAAGAGTCGGTGATGTCGTGAATCGAATCGTCGTGCCACGGAATGTGCAGACCCACCAGCGTGCTGGGCAGGAATCCCCTGTCAGCCATGAACACGAAGTAGGTCATGAAAACAGCGGCGGCTTCAATGGTTCCCACAAGGATGTGCGACACAAAAAGTAATCTAGAGGATATTTTTGGGAGAAACATTTTAGAAACATTTTTTTACTTTCAACCAAGGAAAAAAGCTACTTAGAAAAATCTAAAATTTATGTTTCTCCAGAAACATACCGACTATTTAGCAGAAAGTCATCGTAGACTTTGGGCATCTGCAGCATCAGCTTCTCCTCGGGAGGCTCGTAAATTAAGGTCATGGCAGGTAGCTATGGGAAAATTCGTTTTGGCCAGGTTTTATACAAGACCCCACTTACCAAGTTCACGAGGAAGGCCAGGATGAGCTCATCCAAGATATGAAAGTGAAGGGGAATGCGGAGCAGGAAGAAGGAGAGGTACACCAGTATGTTGGACGTGTTGGTGGCCAGGCAGTAGGCCAGAGCCTTCTTGAGATTCTCAAACAGCAGCCGACTGTCGCCCACCACACTGACCAAAGTGGCGAACGAGCTGTCCAGCAGGATGAGATCGGCACTGGCCTCGCACATCACCGCACATCCGTACTTGGCCACGCCCACATGGCCGCTCCTCATGGCCGGCGTGTCATGGAGTGTTCCTCCGATGACGGATACCACAGCTCCCAGCCGGCGACAGGCCTCCACGATCCAGTGGAGCTGCTCCGTGCTCGTCTCGGCACACACCAAATCCCGCTGAGCCAGGAGCAACTGTTCGATGTGCCAACGCTGGTGATGGGGCTTCTCCTCGGCGTACTGCGACATGTCCACTATTTCCGTGGCGGCTGAGCTGCGTCTCTGCCGGGACTGATAGGAGTCCCAGGGCGCCGCCAGGATGCCCACATCCACGGCGAGGGCCTTGGACAGGTTGCGTTTGCGCCGGGTTACCAGGATCAGCTTAATGCCCGCCGTGCGACAGCGAACCACTGCCTTGGGAATGGTGCTGCGCGGCGGATTGTAGGTGGCTATCATGCCCAGGAACCGCAGCGAGTAGGTGTCCACCGCCAGGTAGTCCCGGTATTTGAACTCTCCGCCGCCGCCGCCGCCGTCTAATCCTCCGTTCGCGTTCACCTGGGAGAAGCGACGAAACTCCAGCTCATTGCTCAGCTCCTTGTAGGCGAAGGCACGGACATGACGACCCGCCTCCAGGAGGCCATCGGCCAGGCTGAGGATGATCTCCTGCAGCTGATCGTCCAGCGGCAGCTCCTCGTCGCGAATGGCGAAGGTGGAGCAGCGGCGAAGCACCACGCTGCAGTGGCCCTTCATCAGCAGGATCAGCTTCAGCTGGCCCTCCTCGTCGCGAGTCCGGTGCACCGTCACCTGGACCTTGTCCGCACTCGAGTAGTGCTTGTTGGCCACCTTCTCGTGGTCGCGACGCAGGTGATCGATGCTCGGCAGGACCATCAGACCGAACTTGAGCAGGGCTATATCCAGGATATTGCCGTACATGTCCTTCTGCATCTTGGGCACGCCGATGTTTCCCGGACAGATGACCGCATCGTTGCACAGAACCGAGGCGCGGATGAGCTCTATGAATCGCGGACCCTGGGCCTTCACATCCAGACTATCGGCGCTCAGCAGTCCCATGTCCACGAAGATCTCCGATACGCGCATGCGCCGCTTGGTCATCGTTCCCACCAAATCGGTGACTATGACGGTGGTGAGGCCCACTGTGGTGGTGCCGCGAAGGTTCCTCACATGGCACTGCTTTCTCCTCATCTCCTTTTTGGTCCTCCTCATGCCCCAGTAAAGGATGAAGGGCACGTACATGGGTGTCAGGGCGATCAGAAGTGAGAGATTGACTTCGTAGGCGATTTCACCACGCTCGAATCCGGTGGTGATGAGCAGCAGGAGAAACAGGAGTCCGATTACAAAGAGGGTATAGTAAGCAATCTTAAGGGTTAGACGGGGTGAGATAAATCATTAGGGGATCTTAGGGGATGTCTCACCTGCTTCTGATGCTTCTTCACACGACTCGGGGGTCGCTCCTTGAAGCTAAGAGCCGTCATGGTTCCCACATCGGTATTCCTTCCACAGGCAATGGCCACTCCGAAGCCATAGCCCTTGATCGCATGACTGCAAGCAAATCCCACATTGCTGGAAGCCCATTTCGATAAAGGTTTGGAACTCATAACTAGAACTAGGAACTAGATTTGTCACTTTGCCAACAGATATCTACGATTGTTGGGAATGTAAATAGATTATAGTATTTAAAAGGAGTTAATTTATTAAAAAAAAATAAATATTTTAAAGTAAGTTCTACAAAGTTACAATGTATTTTTATGTATTCTTTGAAATGATTTCTATGGAAGCTATAATATAGATTGGTCCGATCCGGCTGGTTCCGACATATGTACCTGCAATAGAAAGAATACTTTTGCAAAAGTTTAATCGCGATAGCTTTAAAACTGAGAAACTAGTTCGCATAGCAACGGACAGACGGACATGGCTATTGGTGCTAATACATATATACTTTTGGGCTTTAAAAAATCCATTTTTTTTCGTTTCAAAAAACTAAAAAAAAATATAAAACCCCCCCAAAAGAAAAAAAAAATTTTTTAAATATTTTTTTTTTTTTTATTTCGGTTTTAAGTTCAACGCTTAAAGGTCCTTTATGTACTCCACTCGGGAGTACCTGTGGCGACCCTCATTCGCCAGCGGAGTAATTTGCACGGGCTTCGAGTGTCCTGTCAGAGCGACGTTGTTAAGCTCCAGACCCGAGGAGCTGAAGAATCGCAGATCGGCAGGAAGCCGCTGGCCATAGCTAATGGGAACGATATCGCCCATGACCACGTCCTGGCTGAGAATAACCTCCTTCTCGCCATCCCTGATCACAGTGCAATACATGGGCATTAGTTCATCGAAGGCCACGACCATTTCCTCGTTGTGATCGCCCTGCAGATAAAACACGAGTCCTGCGAGAAAGAAGAAGAGTAGAAGGACGATGCCCGCCACTAGAAACTCGGGATCCACTTTGCCTTCGATGTTCGGGTTAACTTCAAATATGTAGTATAGGGAAAAACAGGCGAAGGAACTAAGGAGCATGACGATGCCCAAGGCACTGAAGCAATCCTTTATGAATCTCCAAAATCGAACATCCTGTTTGAGGGGAAGCGGCAAAACATTCTTCCCATTTCGGGATAGCTTTTTCGCCGCCGCCTCGGAGGTTAGACCCTGTGTATATATTTATTATATAAATTTCTAATATAATTGTGATATTACATATCTCTCACCTGGGAGACATTCGTCTCCAATCTGACGCAGAGCTCGTGGAATGGCCAGATGTGCAGATATGGCCCGTAGTACTCCAGCCACAATTCATTCTCCGTCTGGCGCACTGCCTCCCTTTCCCTCTTCCTCCGCCGGCTGCCACAACACTTCCCCCTCCATTTCGAGATCTGTTTCAGCCAGAACACCATGTTTACGGAAAACTCTAGGCAATTTGTGGAGCTGTGTTTTCGGCGTGTAGAACTGGAAAAAATGGCTCGTAAAAATGCCATCAATGCTGCCGCATAAAACATGCCTGCAACACCCACTGTCACTCGTGAGTCACTCGGTCGGCCCGGGGTCACGGGTCACGGGCATTAGGGGTCATAACGGTGCCGAGAAACAGAGAAACAATCTCAACTGTTCCGCTGGGAGTCGCAATCGAAATCGCAAATCGACTCGAATTGATACGCCGCCTTCCTGCAAAGCAAAACAATTGCGCCCTGTAGGATTGCTTGTCTTTTGGCTAAGATTGCTTTCGGCCCAAAAGTAGGCAACAGAGTTTGGTCTACATGGTTTAGTAGAAAATATAGTCTCTTGAGCCAGAACTCCCAAAACTTCACCAAATTGGTGAGTAGGCTTGAGCTACAGGTCGGACTCAGGGTCCCGACCCGAAGTCAATTTCGTTTGGAGTCACACCAAAATTACCAGTGGACCGAAGAAGAAGTTAGTTGCAAGTGCAAAGATCAAAGTTACACAAATTAAAGGAAATCCAAAATTTCCAAAATTCCCGGCAATCGCCGTTACAAGTGGCTTAAAAACCAAAAAACACAAGTGCTAAAGTGCCAACCCTAGTGGGTAAGTTTTTTGAGTGCGAGAAGTTGATAAAGTGGTGTTTGAACGCCGTAATGTTTTTAGGTGGCACCTAATTACATAACCCCGGTCCGCCAAAAGCCAGGCTTGGGCGTAAGAGGCGTCTGGAGAACAAAAGGGCCAACAGGAGTGAAGTTATATACCCATCAACCGATCAATCAGCACCAGCAGCAGCAGCAGAATCCGAGATCCCTCAGCAGCAACCAAAGCGCCGAGAATTTGATTTATATATATTATCTACATATTTTTGATACTTTCTACATCTACGTTTATATGTTGTAGAATAGCCCAGTAGCCAGCGAAATTTAGGCTAGGGTCCATTTACCGGCAATACAGTCCGTAAGCCGTAGGGAAATATAGCCCAAGAAAAAAATGAATTAATCAACCCCTCAAATACAAAATCATTTCTAATTACATTTAAAAACTTAAAGTAACGAATTTTACGCGGCATTTTACGCCGCTAGGAGCAGATCAACAGCTGAAATTTAGTTTAAGTAGTTTTAAGAGTATAGCAATCAAGAGAGAAGGTCAATAACAGGAAAATATGCATTAGAGCTGAGCAGTCCCGTCTTTCCATGTACAATTCCCTTCCCTCTCCCATAACTTAACGGCAGAGTACCGTACCGCTGAAGATTACGAGTAAGGCGAGTGAGAGTAACTTAAGCAATCTCTTAAGTAGTTGAGGTTCTCTTTCACAGGCCCCTTCGAGAAGCGCTTCATCGTGGGAAACAAAGTGAGTCCATTGTAATGAATCTCAACTACCTTTTTTTTTTAAATAACACAAAAGTCCAAAGAGACAACAAACATTAAAATTTAACCCCTTACTAAATGCCGTAATAAAAATAAAAAAAAATTAAAGAAAACTTCAAATTCCAAAAAATTTCCTCCCCATAAAGCCCAAACCACAACTCCCTGCTCAATAAAATAAAATTTTAAGTCACACATATAATGCCATAATTTTACATGCTTACACCCATTATACCCGCTCTCTACATTTGTATTATTTCATGTAAAAGCTAGATGTTATATACATGAGCACTGAAATATTCAGCGATCGCTAAATTTAATTTTTATTCATTAAATTCGCAATTTTAAGTTCAATCTATATGTTAATCACTTCTTAGGATCCTAATGCTCTTGTTTAGAATTAAATTTTGTCAGTTAATAGGATTATTCTATGTTTAAAAATAAAATTTATAATGTGGTCTAAAGTTGAGTAGAGTCCATAGGGAAGCCATGCGTCGTCGAATGTTATCTGTCGTGTAAAGTGTAGTCGCCTTTTAGGGATCGCCATAAATATATCTGGTCGATGGTGATCATGGTAGGGAGGGCAAGTCAGCTTGAACAACCGCTGACATAAAGGCACTACATCCTTGTTCGTCCTTGTCTGTTCTTTGCTAGTCAATAGTCCAGTTTAGTCCTCGGAGATTCTTCTTTAAGCACGCGAATTAATAAGGATTTATTGTAAAGAGCAAGCAGCAGCGTTTAATATATCCCCGACCCCCTCTACTGGTAACTCATGCCGGAACCAGCGCGTGCTCAACGTAGGCTACAAATTACACCAGCTCTCGAAACGTAGTTCGCTACAGTATTCTAATATATAACAATAAACTTATTTGGCGCCCAAACGTGTGTGGCCCGATTCTGTCATGGCGACAGATCGATCCGGCAAGGCCAGATCCATAAAAAGAAAAAATATATTTATTTAAAACCGTCAGTAACATCAGACGTTAGTCAAGAGAATCTCCACAGCATTCATCCTCTAGATTAGGTGCGGCGAGGAGTGATTTACGGATCAAAACTCCTTGCATACTATTAGGCCGCTGGAAAAGTTTTAGCTATTTAGCTTTAACGCCGCTACCTAATTAAACTTACGCATAGGGCGTTGTTTATTGGCTTAATAAATTTGCCATCCCGTCTTTTAGCGTGGGAAGTATTAATTTTTTTGTACTGAACTTTAATATAGAATTGTACAGAACACTTGTTGCCGGTTGCCTGGTGTATCTGGTATAGTCTGTGTTTTATGCGAAGTTCAAGAATTTTATTAATACCAGATGTTAAATTTAAGATTAAGAGTCTGTTTTCGAGAATCTGAACAATAGGAGCCGGATGTTGCCGTTTTGCCATGCGGTGAACCGATTAAGTAGGTATTTTCGTTAATAGATCGTCATCTGAAAACGATATCTTTCACCTTTCTAGTCAAATTTTATTTTGTAATTTATTTTTGTTTTGCGTATTAATCTTTTTGTAGTGGAGTTTTAGGCGGAATTGTACAGAACACTTTTGGCCGTTTGCCTGGTGTGTCTGGTATAGTCTGTATATAATACAAGTTGCAAAAAGTTATTTGATACAAGATGTTAAATGTAAGATTAGTGAATCTGTTACATGGAAATCCATATATTACAGGAGCCTCTTGTTGCCGTTTGCCTTGAGGTGAACCTTTTATTGTTTTTGTGTAATAGTTCGTCATCTGAAAACGTCATCTTACACTTGTAATTCCATTTTATTATTAAAAATTTTTAGAGTCAATAGTATTAAATTTCATTACCGACAGGGCTTAGCAGGACAAGGAACTTTACAAAAAGATAGCAGAAAACGATTGCATGGCACCCCAAATTTTGAAAGTTTTATTCTGATTTTTTTCGATTAATTATTTATTTATTTATGTTTTGTTTATTTATTATTTTTGCTTACTATTATTTATTTATTTTATTTATTTATTTTTATTATTAGGTAGATATTTTTTTTAATTATTATTGCAAGATTCCGGAGCTGTAGGTTTTGTTGAAATGTCCCTAGCACACAGCACAGAAGATCTAAATAAAATAGTAGAGAACGTTTGTCAGATCTGCGCAAAACCTATTTCCTTTCCGATCCAATTGCTACACGCAAGGTGCGGTCACGATTTTCACCGAAATTGCTTCGCTACAAAAGCGGGGAAAACAAAAATCTGTCCTGTCTGCTCTAGCTCACTATCATTCGCATCAGCGGAGAATTTAGCAGTTGATACTCCAACTAAACCTTCTGGCTCGAGAACCAAAACTCCAATAGTGCCACTTAACGTAGTAACTAGGTCGAAAGCTAATCAAGGCAAACCATCAAGCGACATCACAATGCCTACTGGTAACGACCAACAACCGCCTTCAGCCCCGACTGAACCTCCAACTGATTTTCAGTCGGCAATGGCCGAAACTATCAGGGTAGCCATTTCAGAAGCCTTAACGACTGCATTGGCCCAGCAAACAAAATGTTTCGCTGATGCTTTGGCGCAACAAACAAGAACCATGACCCAAGCGTTCGCAGGGAATTCGCAAGCCCAAGCGGCAAATTTTTCGCCTAACCAGATAATGTTAGACCCGATGTATAACCAAGGTAATACCGATCCTCAAGGTCCACCAAATCTAGGTCAGAATCGTAGTAGCAATTATTCGCCTGCCTCAGCAAGCAGCTCCTTAAGGCCAGATAAGATTGCTCAAATCATGGTTGGTTGGAAGCTACGCTTCTCAGGAAAAGGGCCAATGACTGTCGAAGACTTTATATACAGAGTAGAAGCTTTAGCAGGACAATCATTGGAGGGAAATCTTGAGCTAGTGGCTCAGAATGCTAATTTGCTGTTTGACGGAATCGCGAGCGATTGGTATTGGCGTTTTCATAAAGCGTATCTGCAGTGCGTTGGTTCGAGTTAGTTGAAGGACTTAAAGGCCAATTCAAAGACGATAGAACTGACAGGAACATTCGAGCGGAAATAGACCAAAGGAAGCAACGGGGAAACGAAACTTTCGATGATTTCCATAGGATAATCGCTGCCCTTGCAGATAGACTGTCGCAACCAATGTCAGAGCAAGCAATGGTTGAAACTTTGCGGGCGAACCTCCTTCCAGAAGTCCAACATGAGATTTTGTATGAGCATACCCGAACTGTGCAAGAATTAAGACGACTAGTAAGGACCCGAGAAATTTTTATGCAAACCGTAGGAAAGCCGCAAGGATTTACACCGCGCCACGGACCACCCAGGAGGCAAGTCTGTGAGGTGCAATGTCAGGTAGAGACAGTAACAGAGAGCGAAGAGTCTGATGAAGATCAGAGTTAGCGGCCATAAATCTGCGATGTTGGAACTGTAAAGAAAAGGGACATCCACATACCAAGTGCCCAGTACCGAAGCGGGTGTATTGTTTCGGATGCGGAGAAGACGGCCAGTACAGTCATACCTGCATCAAGTGCCACCCGTCAAAAAACTCAGCAGAGCGTGCCACAAAGGCACGCAAACAGATGGTCTCGAAGGCAACGATGACCGACCAACTAGATTCACTTCACTAACCCCAAAACCAAAATCAACTGCCCAGATTTCTTCCAAAAC